TCCTCAAGTACGCATCCGAGGGCGTTGGCGATTTTTTAGGGGATTGAGGAAATCCTGAGGAATATACTCCAGTAAGAATTGTTTGGTGTTTTTGAATACTTCATGTTGAAAAAAATTTTTGGTTGTGGAAAAATCTCCAAAAATTACATTTTGACCCTCGAACTACGCTCAAGTACGCATCCGAGGGCATTCGCGATTTTTTAGGGGATTGAAGAAATCCTGAGGAATATACTCCAGTAGGAATCGTTTGGTGTTTTTAAATATTTCATGTTGAAAAAAATTGTTTTTTGTGGAAAAATCTGTAAAAATTATATTTTTACCCTCCTACTACCCTCAAGTACGCTTCCGAGGAAGTTGGCGATTTTTCAGGGGATTGAGGAAACCCTGAGAAATATAGTCCAGTAGGAATCGTTTGGTGTTTTTGAATACTTCATGTTGAAAAAAATTTTTGTTTGTGGAAAAATCTTCAAAAATTACATTTTTACCCTCGTACTACCCTCAAGTACACATCCGAGGGCGTTGGCGATTTTTTAGGTTATTGAAGAAATCCTGAGGAATATACTCCAGTAGGAATCGTTTAGTGTTTTTAACTATTTCATGGTGAAAAAAATTTTTTTGTGGAAAAATCTGCAAAAATTATATTTTCACCCTCCTACTACCGTCAAGTACGCATCCGAGGGAGTTGGCGATTTTTTAGGAGATTGAGGAAATCCTGAGGAATATACCGCAGTCGGAATCGTTTGGTGTTTTTGGATACTTCATGTTGAAAAAAATTTTTGCTTGCGGAAAAATCACCAAAAATTACATTTTTACCCTCCTACTACCCTCAAGTACGCATCCGAGGGCGTTGGCGATTTGTTAGGAGATTGAGGAAATCCTGAGAAATATACTCCAGTAGGAATCGTTTGGTGTTTTTGAATACTTCATGTTGAAAAAAATTTTTGTTTGTGGAAAAATCTTCAAAAATTACATTTTTACCCTCGTACTACCCTCAAGTACACATCCGAGGGCGTTGGCGATTTTTTAGGTTATTGAAGAAATCCTGAGGAATATACTCCAGTAGGAATCGTTTAGTGTTTTTAACTATTTCATGGTGAAAAAAATTTTTTTGTGGAAAAATCTGCAAAAATTATATTTTCACCCTCCTACTACCCTCAAGTACGCATCCGAGGGAGTTGGCGATTTTTTAGGAGATTGAGGAAATCCTGAGGAATATACTCCAGTAGGAATCGTTTTGTGTTTTTGAATACTTCATGTTGAAATTTTTTTTTGTGGACAAATCGTCAAAAATTACATTTTTACCCTCCTACTACCCTCAAGTACGCATAGGAGGGCGTTGACGATTTTTTAGGGGTTTGAGGAAACCCTGAGGAATATACTCCAGTAGGAATCGTTTGGTGTTTTTGAATACTTCGTGTTGAAAAAATTTTTTTTTGTGGAAAAATCACCAAAAATTATTTTTATACCCTCCTGCTACCCTCAAGTACGCTTCCGAGGACGTTGGCGATTTTTTAGGGCACGGAAGAAATCCTGACGAATATAGTCCAGTAGGAATCGTTTGGTGTTTTTGAATACTTCATGTTGAAAAAATTTTTTTTTGTGGAAAATCGCCAATAATTCCATTTTTACCCTCCGACTACCCTCAAGTACGCATCCGAGGGCGTTGGCGATTTTTTAGGGCATTGAGGAAATCCTGAGGAATACACTCCAGTTGGCATCGTTTGGTGTTTTTGAATACTTCATGTTGAAACAAATTATTATTTTTTAAATCGCCAAAAATTACATTTTCACCCTCGTACTACCCTCAAGTTCTCTTCCGAGGGCGTTGGCGATTTTTTATGGGATTGAGGAAATCCTGAGGAATATACTCCAGTAGGAATCGTTTGGTGTTTTTGAATACCTCATGTTAAAAAAAATTTTTTTTTTGTAGAAAAATCACTAAAAATTACATTTTTACCCTCCTACTACCCTCAATTACGCATTCGAGGGCATTGGCGATTTTTTAGGCCATTGAGGAAAATTGTGTTTTTACCCTCCTACTACCTTCAAGTAAGCATCCGAGGGCGTTGGCGATTTTTTAGGGCATTCCCCTAAACCGCGTGGAACCGCGTGGTGAGAGACCGTTATTGAGACCTAAGGAAAAATTGTCAAACGGAAAAATTGTCAAATGAGAATGCGAAGGGGACGCCATCCGGTAGTGACGCCGCGGAGTATGTTTTTTGGGGTAAAGATGAGTTTTCAAGTTAGGATTGTCTAGACAAATTCAAAATAATATTTAGTCCTATATAAAAAGCGACATGGGTCATTAATCGAATATGGCGGATTTCATGGGGATAATCGATTATTACATTCGACTAATCGAATCGCGCTCAACTGGGCACTGCTGCAGTGCCACTGCATGAGACACGCACGAAGGGTGGGTTCTCACTCGCGACATGTCGTGAAAGTTAGCCCACAGCTGAAAATGGTGGGTAAATTCGACTCGAAAAACTCATAATGCGAATTTCTCATCTGCGAATTATTGTTATCCACTTGAAACAGTGAAATATGTGAATGTGAGAGAAAAATATAATTATTTATATTGCACTTGAAACAGTGACATATGTGAATGTAAGAGGAGAATGTCATATAACAAAATCCCTGTGCTGGTTTGGGTCATTCTTTGGAACTCAGATTTTTCTACGGTACGTAGTGGAATATTTATTGGTAATTCATTCGAAGATGATGAAAAACGTAAATAAATGGCCAGAAACTCCCTAACCTTATCTAAAACATCATAAATCGAGTGAAATAATGAGAGAACTTGCCCAGTTGGCCTTTTATTCTGGAGTTTTTAGGAATTCAATTAAATTTTTCACTATCTACTAAAAATGAATTACCAATTTTCCAATATGTACCATGAAAAAAATCTGAGTTTCAGGAGATGTTCTAACCCAGTTCAGGGATTTTGTTGTCTTATACTCTCCCTTTACACTTACATATTTCACGTGTTTCAGTTACCATAAATAATGAAAATTCTAATAATTTGTTTTAGCTGTAGTTTGAATTTACCCGCCATTGCGACACGCGTCGCTGCCATTAGCAGAGAGTGAAAATCCACCCTTAGGTTTATTCACAACCGCTGCGCGACACTCAGGACGCGTCCATTTCGTTTGGGGCTCTTGGAGGATTTATGTGTGCTGCGAGTCGAAAATTGGATTGAATCGTAATCCATCAACATCTACAATGGGTGATATTCCTGCTTTTACCTCTAATGAGAGGTTGGATAATGCACAGCCGGGGGATAACACGTTGTGAGTATTTTTTAAGATTGATAATTAAGTCCATGTTCACTTTTCGATTCAACATGTGTTAATGATAGTGAGGTTATAACCATGAGGTCACCACATGCTCAAGCTCAATTCTTAGTGCCGAGAGAAAATATAACATAAAATTTCATTGATTATTCAATTTTCAATATAAATAACCAGTAATATTTTTCAAATTATTGATTTTTGTAGGTAACACTCATGTTGAGGTTAAACTATCATGTGGTGTTACCGTTAGTGCTAGATAATTTCATTATCTTTTCGTAATTTTTGTCTGTGCGTCAAAAATGATATTTCTATCGCATAAAGACGAGATCATAGCTAAAATCCAGAATTCAAACTAAAATTCAAAATAATTTTTCTATTTTTTATCTTGAATTGTTGAAATTGTTTGAGAAGGAATAAAAAAGATTGGAAAATTAATTAATTAATTATTGAATTCTTCGTCATTTTACGTGTTTTTAATAGTTAATTCTCTCTTTTTCAGTGAGATAACGGGTGTTATTAGCGCCTTGGATCCACGCGCAACACGTGCTAACGAGGCCTCTCGATGAGTGTATTTGTTCAGATGCATCATCAGCAAGACAGAAGGCAGGCAGCTGAGAGTGCTCTTCTGTGAGAACATGGCCAGGACTTACGGGAATCGAGTCTATGCCCAGATTATCACAATCACTCGAGCTCGAATAGTGCCAGCTGATTCTCGGTATCCCGGTCCTGCTAATCTCATGATAATTGAGATCTCAGTCCAACGTCGATCAACGATCACGATCCACAGGTCATATATTGATCCAACTAATGCTATCGTCGCCAATGTTCCTGAGATCCCTCTGGCCAACATTGGCAATGCTGAAGGCATTGTCCAAATCGTTGGATTCATCGAGACTGCTATCGAGGAGCAGATCTACGGGAACGCAGCGTACGGAAGTGGAGCTATTATAGACGGTCATTATCGTTTGGTGATCAACGTCACCATGTTCAATGCCCACAACTCCCCAGCTCGTGGTGCACACGTTAAAGTTCAGGCTGCTCTACGACGTAATTCTTACCAGACGATGCTCCTACAGATCCCAGATATGGCAAATATTCAAGTAGTGGGTGATCAGGTACTCGATCCAGTGAGATTGAGGGCAGGGTACAGAATCCCTGCTGGAGTTGTAGGGACAGCAGCCCCTGCAGTCCAAGGTCAGATCTGTCATGCACCACCCATGGTTCCTGTTGGCGGTAATGCAGCTGTTCTCCCTGCAGCAGAGATCTCAAGACAACACATCAATTCACAGGCAGTGGGTATCAATGGTAGGAATAATGATGTCATGCAAGCTCCCCCTCAGCCAGTCGTACAGGGACGGATTGTACCAGAGGTACCTGCATTCCCTGCAGAAATAGCAAGAATTGAAAGACAACCCCAGATCACCCCACAGCCTGCTGATGTTCAAGGTCATAGGGCCCTGGAGGGACTGTCATTTGCTGCTGTTGGCGACCCAGTTCCTGGTGCTGGTATGTTGACACAGATGCCAGAGCAACGTGCTCAGAGAGTTCCAGATTATGCACTGGCTGTTCAAAGGCAGCTCCCTCCTGATCCAGTTGTTATTCAGGACAGATGGCTCCTGAAGTAGCTACCCTCAATGATAGGGGTGCTTTAGCTCCAGCTGTCAACCCCCCCCCCCCCCTCATCGAGTTGATGTCAGAGGTCAGATGATCCCCAATCGACGTCCACTCGCTGTTGGAGGTGGTCCAGCTCCTATTGGTGATATTTTTCCACCCATGGCGAGGCAACCAGTTGATCTCCTCCCTCATCCAGTTGGTGTCCCAGGTGGAATGGTCCCAGAGGGACATCCACTCGCTGCTGGAAGTGCTCCAGCTCCTATTGATGATAATTTTCCACCCATGGCGAGGCAACCAGTTGATCTCCCCCCTCATCCAGTTGGTGTCCCAATTGGAATGGTCCCAGAGGAACGTTCACTCGCTGCTGGGGGTGCTCCACCTCCTGTTGCTGAGATTTTGTTACCCATGGCAAGACAACCAGCTGATGTCTATTCTCATCCAGTTGGTGTTCCAGGTGGAATGATTCCAGAGGAACGTTCACTCGCTGCTGGGGGGAACTCAGGTCAGCCTCCACTTGATCAGGTACTCCCAGAACTACCTGTTAGCAATGGTGTCCGGCCTCTAACTATTTACGACGATGATGGGAAATTTCCAGCATATGTAGAACCTGAACATATATCTGACGATGAAGAGTCACTGGAAAGAGTCAACGGTGTTAACTCATCACCAAGAGGAGCACGTCCGGCTGATCCTCGCAAAAAGAGAAGACCTAACCCTAAGCAGGTCAAGCAGAAAGGTGGTCGACTGCAGGACAAAAGTCCTTCATCATCTCAAACGGGCAAAGGTGATGAGATAATTGTCATTCAACACTGATGATTCTTCACAGGAGTCTGATTAAATTCTCTCCATGCCTAATTCTACATTTCTCTTAGGGTACCTGCATCAATGATGCGCACATTTTTTTTTTGTTTTTCATTATTCTTTTCTTTTAGTTTCATTTTTGTTTTGTTTTCCTTTCGTCCCATTTTTCTTTAGTTTGCAATAAGAGAGATGTAAAATTAATTCATAACTTTATATTCGTGACTGATGAAATAGATCAGAAAGACCCGATCCCAAGTAGGATTTTTTATATTTTTTATTGGCAATAGGAATGAGGTAAAATCATAGCAAATACCTCTCCCCACGTTTTCCATCCTATTGCGGAAATCATTTTTGTTTTTGAGCCCATTTTTTTTTTAGTACTTGCGATCGTTAACACTGTCGATTTTCACTCTGATTGAACCAAAACTTCTAGCAGGAAAAGGCGCCAAAGGCTTTACAGTTTCAATCTGCCAATGAAGTATTAGCCAGAAGGCTTTATTATTTAAGCTTTGTTTAAAAAAATGAGATTTATTTAGTCTGACCGTGAACCAACAAGTTGGGTAGAAGCTATGAGTTTCTCCGTTGACGACAAGAAATGATGTTTGAGAATGAGGTTTTTTTTTGCAGTGTCGCCTGTTTGATAAAAGGAACTAATGACTGAGGTCAAATCTAATTTTCAAGTCCATATTATTTTTTTTACGAACAAAACTTTAATGATTGTTTTTCTTTAGAGATAATTTTAAGATAAGTGCCTACACTGATTAACAAAATTATGTCGAACATATGTTTTTGTGTACTGTACTTGATGCCCATTGGGAAGAATATTGGCAGAAGCCAAATTTATACTCGTAAATGTCTGACTGTGTTGACCTGAGCTTTATTATATTTTTTACGTGTAGGGTAAGTACAAGTGCCTGTATTATCTTGATAAACGAACAAGTACAAAGAGAGATGAAAATATGAAATAGCTATGATAAAAAGATGGTGGAATCGATAGGAAGTGATTATGCTAGGGAGCTGGTGGAGTTGATTGTGTGTAGTGCATTACCATATGCTAAGAAAAAAATGAAGATGATTATCTTCTCATCGTCGTCGCTCAATGAAAAGAAACTGAGATTTTAGTTTATAGTCATCTTTTGTATCTTTGTAATAAAAATTAAGAATTTTCGATTTGATTATGTTTCTCTCTTGTACTCCTCAATCTCCTCAAATTTCCTTTGATTTTCTTTTCAGTGAGAGGAGAATTAAGATCTTTATTAAAACAAAAAATCCTGATAAATTAATGATATAGCTGTCATTATTGAAAAAGTCAAGAGTTAAATCTGGTAAATATCAGCATTTCGTATTTCTCATGCAATTAAAATCGTTCTCTACATATTTGAAAAGTACAAATGAACATTGAATTGAATTCTTCAAACTTCTATTTTCCATTTCGTTTCCTCATTTTTTCTGATTTGGAGACAAATACGTTCATTAAAAAAATTAGAATTCTTGGACATTTTGAGAATTTTTTTTCTTGCTATTGTTATAAAAATCCTCGGAAATGTCGCGTTACTCTCAATGGAACCGACAAGGATAAAATCCATCTGATCATATTTTTTTAATGCATTCAAGAAATCGGCAACGCTCCTCTCTGCTGCCATCTGTTTTAAATTTTAGGGAATCCTATTTGAATCTCTAACTGTGGTTGGCTGTGGTTATTCCTTATTCCTTATAGTTCCAATTGTGTGTCAGCCTTTAACAAATTAAGCACTCATTACGCGTGTCGTATCTCATAATTTCATAATCCTTTGAAAACCTCGCCAACACGTGCCAAGTTAATTGGAATAAAGTGATTGCACCAACTTTTACGTCATTGAATCTCCTATTGAAGGTAATTTGGTTCATTTTTATTGAAACATCCTTAATTTCCAAGAAAAAACAATACGAAAATTAATTATGAATTAAAAACTTAAATGAATTAAAACACACTTTCTCACTTTGTAGGAAAAATTTAGTTTAAGCACCAGTGCAACGCATGTTCCAGTTTCACTACGTTAAGAAACGAAATCAATTTAATAGAAGGTAAAAATTGACTTCAGATTATTGATAAATTTCTCTTAGATTGTCTCAATCATTAAAAATAATTCTTTTTGTTTTTCAGCAGTATAGGTTAATGAGAACTGCAACAGCTGAGGGACATTACACACATATCAATTATTACAGTGTCGATGATAATAGATTATTTTACTTATTATATTTTATTATTCATTCATTAAAGTGGATAATTATTTTGTAACTTGTCGTAAATAAAACTTTATTCCCATCCTACATGCTTCCCAGAAATTTATGAAATTCAACCAAGTTTCTACAGATTGATATAGATAATTAGACAAAGAGAATAGAAAGCAGATTGATAGAGATATTCAGACGAATGAAAACAATTCTTATAGAGTAATTCAGATATTGAGACTAACAGAAATAATCTTTGAACAAACTGATTTCCTGAGATTGAAAACAGATTATTACCTGGGAATTAAACAGACAATCTTGAAATTCAAACAAAAAAGAAAGAGAATAAAAGTAGTGAAAATGCCGTAAAGATATTTAGCATTGACTGATGAGAAATTGGAGAGTGGCAGATCGAAAAAACCAACTTCTATGGGAGAGAAAAATGAAACTGGCGGAACGAATGAAATTCCTATAGAATCCATGAGAATAAATAGTCATGTCACTACTACGCGTTCAGAATCTCACCAAATGTCGCAAAAATCAGTTCTCAATGTCATCTCTCATGATCACAGGTATTCCAACTATTCCAAATTGGGTCCTAAATGTAGAAAGACTATTACCGAAAAGAAGGTCCTTTCACAAAATTATCGATCAATCAATCCTGTTGGATTGAAGAAGGATGAATCCACATTACAAACAAACGATTGACTTTTCCAACATTCACCTCTCTCTTTTGTTAGTAATCATTCTGGCATGAATAATTTCAATAATAATCCAAGTTCTTTCATGCCACAACCAGTATCTGACAAGGGAATTCCAATATCCAATTCTAGAGAAATGGGTAATCAAAATCCAACGTCCTGTCACAGGCTATCAGAACCAGCTATTGCGCAATAATTCTACAGAATTTTCAGTGTCACAAAGTCAGGTTGCAACCCATTTGAAAAAACACGTTATCGATTCGTCCATAATGTTAGTGGCAATAATACTATTACGCAGGAAACAAATAGGATTTCTGAACATTATCTTGGTCCTATGAACATCCCATGCGTTCATTGCGGAGCGTTGCATTTTGCTGCGGAAAGAATTCCAGGTAAAGGTAACTCATTCAGTGACTGCTGCAGTCATGGAAAGGTTGTTGTTCAAAATTTACCAAGTCCCCCGCAAATTCTGAAGGAACTATTCGATGGAACACATGAAAAATCGAATCACTTCTATCAGAACAGTCGGTCTGACAATAACTCATTTTCAGTTGCTTCATTTAACGCCAACTTGGTGAATTTTAATAACAGACCAACAGGACCTTTTTGTTTCAAATTCAAGGTCAAATTTACTATCAAATTAATACGGCACTATATCCAGCTGATAATGAGTTACCTAGCTTTGGACAGCTCTTCATAATCGATTCTGATGAAGCGACCAATCATAGATTGAATGCAAATACAAATTTGAATGCCGAAGTTCTTGAAGCAATTGATAATGCAATGAGAATATCTAATATACATGTTTTATCATATCAAATGATGAAAGAAGAGCTAGATTTCATGACTTTAAGGAATAATGGCGTTGAACCAGAACTTGAGTTATTATTCTCATTAAAAAAAGGATTAGATAGACGGCGCTACAATTTCCAACGTATTAACGAAGTTGCGGCAGTTTTTTCAACAACAGCAGATGGAGACATTCCAGAATCATATATTACTATTCGGAATAGATCGGACAAAGTTTTACAATATGTCAGTGCAATGAATGAATGGGTTGAAACATGGACTCATCCATTATTTTATCCATATGGAACTAGAGGCTGGCATGATAAAATGAAACAAACTGATGGTAAAACCAGAGTCACGAGAAATGCGTACTTCAAGTATCGAATGGCAATTCGAACCGAACCCAATTATATATTGTTGGCACTCGCATTATTCCAGCAATGGACAGTTGACAGCTATGTCAAAATGGAAAAAGATGGAATGATGATAATTATTTACGTTCGATACAACAAAAACTGCGCGTGGATTGCTACGAAAATGTAATTGATCATTTACAACGACGGGCTCAAGATACGAATGGTCGCATTGGTAAAATTGTCATCCTGCCATCTTCTCATGTAGGATCACCGCGTTATATGTTACAAACTTATCAAGACTCGATGACGATAGTTCGTAATTTTGGTAAACCAGATTTATTCATTACCATGACCTGCAATTCGAAATGGAGAGAAATAAGCGAAAATCTTCTGGATGGACGAACTTCATCAGACCGGCTAGATTTGGTAGCTCCCGTGTTTGAATTGAAAAAAGACGAGCTAATAAGAATAATCACTAAAGATCGAATATTTGGAGACGTTCTAGCTCACATGCGTGTGATCGAATACCAAAAACGTGGATTACCTCATGTTCACCTACTATTGACGTTAAAACCAAATTCCAAAATTACAACTCCTGAAATTGTAGACAAATATATTTCTGCTGAAATGACAAGTTCCTTTGAAAATCCAGAATTACACGAAATCATAAAAAATAATATGGTCCACGGTCCATGCGGTGATTGGTGTTTAGATGATAAGAAGCAATGTTCGAAGAAATATCCAAAAACATTTCACAATGAAACAACGATGGATGAGGATGGTTACTCTTGCTACAAGCGTCGTGACACAGGGCAATATACTCGCCGAGATGGATTTGTTTTTGACAATCGAAGTGTTGTTCCACACAATAAAGAATTATTGCAACATCTCAATTGTCACGTGAATGACGAAGTCATCTCAAATATTAAAGCTGTGAAATATCTTTATAAATACA